ATCTTCCCCATGCCCCTACTTACACACTTTTGTCCTATTTCTTTTTATGTTATTATTATTATTATTTCATTTTCTACTATATATATCATCTTAGCATATGCTGGAAATTCTGCATTATTAACAAAACATTATTAACAAAACACAGCTCCTACCATGTCCATTTAATTTAAATTCTTTTTTCTTATATTTATTTTCACATATTTTTGTGTAATTATTTAAAAAAAAACACTAAATTATTTAAAATTTCAAAAAGGTGGGTCTCGTCCTTCTTGACTTCAATTAAACGACAACGCATTAGCAACTCAAACCCCTTTGCCCTTTAACCCACCAGCAGTTCTGGTCCCAGCCATGAATGTTCCAATTAATAACTTTTTTCTTCCTTTTTTTTTTTTGGGTTAAATTAACTAAATTGTAATTTTAAAAAAAAATATTTAATTAATATTTCTCTCCGGACCGTTACAAACTTGTTCGATATTTAAGGTGGTTGTGATTTCTAATATGTTATTTAAGAAATGACACCATTATTAATATTTTTAATTTAATTTATATATATATATATATATATATATATATATATATATATATATATGTGACGTAAGCCCTAATAATTTTGAATTAATTTTTATTTTTAGAGAAAAATCCAAGTGGACAGTTGTTGAGACAATGAAAAGTATTATTGGTTTGGAAAATAATACGTGGAAATAAAAATAATCAGTGGGAATCCTCTTGTCCGCACCTGTTGGAGTGACGGTGATGTGTCTGACACCAGATTCTTCCACGTATTAATGAGACCAAACATTGGCGTCAAATTTTTTTTTTTTTTTTTGGAATTTAATCTCACCGTCAAATCGACGGTCCATGGTTATCCATGGTGGGTCCCACTTGTTGGTTTTTACTGGCCACGTGTTGACGGGTCCCACGTCAGCTTTCGTTTTCTATTTGTTTTTCCCGGAATCTGTTGGGTTGTTATGTCGATGGCGCGTTTTCCGTTTTTGTTGGTCCTTGCCGACTTGTCGTTCCTTCCTTTTTTTGTTTCTCTCTCCTACACTTTTCCCACCAATCATAGTGCGCCAATTCCACCATCTCTCTCCACATATATTTTCCATTGGGTCCCACCCCATTTGCTATGCTTACTCACATGCCTTATTAAAAGTTGTTATTTATATTTTTCAAACTATTAATTAATATATTCTTGTACTACATAAAAAAAAAAAATTATGTAATTATTTTAAAAAAATATATTATTCAACGTCATTATCCTCAATTATTAAGTTATTTTGTCAACACCTGCAATTTACCTAAAACATTTATTCTCGATTAAGTTCAAATCTTATATTCCACTTATTTCGATTGGAGAGTGAAATGAAACATTTCTACTAAGCGTGTAGAAACTTAGTAGACGTGTTTTAAAACCTTAAGGGAAAACCCAGAAGAGAAAATTTAAAAAGTACAATATTTGCTAGCGGTGGACTTGAGATGTTACAAATGGTATTAGAGTGTCTCGATGTGCCAATAAGGGCAAACCTAGCTATTACAAATGGTATTAGAGTCAGACACTGAGCAGTGTGCCTGCGAGGATGAACCCAGCTGTTACAAATGGTATTAGAACCAGATATCAAACTATGTGCCAGCAGGACACTAGACTCTCAAATGGGTGGATTGTGAGATCCTACCTCGGTTGGAGAGGAGAATGAAACATTCTTATAAATGTCTAGAAGCATCTCTGTAGTAGACATGTTTTAAAACCTTAAGCGATGGTCGAAAAGGGAAAGTCCAAAAGGGATAATATCAGCTAACAGTGAACTTGGACGGTTACTCTCAAGTCTACAAATTATCCTGATTTATGTTTCTTTCGGTGATATGAACGTTGCTGTGAAAAATTTAGACATTAAATCTAGGCGTAAATGTTTTAACCAATTAAATTTGTTTAATTTTTCTTAAAAAAAAACACAAAATTTAGATAAAAATTAGAAATTTAAAGATGAAAATGAAGAAGAAGTAGGGGAGGATAAGGGAGCATGAGGGGTTATGATATATGAATGAGATTAAAAAGCCAAAATGAAAGGAGTAGTTATAGTATAGCACATGGGGGGAAGGACACGCTTTAGGGGGGGAAGCGGCAGTGTAGGCGGTTGGGCTGGCGATGCCGGCGCAGGCATTTGATTAGTTTCTTAAAACAGACACGCCCACGCTTGCTGCTAAGCCCTACGTCCCCTCTCTTTTAATTAATCCCACCAACTGCAAGTGGGCATCGCGATTATCAACGTCTTTTTTACTTGGGGACCCGACAAAGCCCTCGCACAGAAACTTCTATTTTCTCCTTTCAAGGTATTTCGGTCTCCCTTTCTCTTGAGAACCCTCCTTTTTTTCATCTTTTTTTTTTATTTTTTCTTCATTATTGTCATTGTAATTTGCGATTTCAACCAGTCAAGGAGTCATTATCGAGACGACTTGGGCCTTTCCCTTCCTTGAATTTCAAACCCCACAATTCTTTCCTCCCCTTCCCCACTTGACTTTTCTTTTTCTTGGAATGCCCACAACATGTTCGATGAAATGCCTCAAAGATGACCTCACTTTCTTTTTGGGCCGTTGGTTGTTGTTTTGTTGTTTTTAACACCCCCAAATCAAAATGTTTGAAATTTTAGTTTGTTGGTTGGGTCAAACAAATGGGTTAATTCTTAAAAAGTAGTCTTGGTTAATTTAGCTTTCAACACATGCCTGCTATGTTGTGTTTGAATGAATGCCTAGAAATTGGCTTAGCCTTCTTTTGAGACCTTCAAGGATTTGTAAAGCTGGAAATCTAAGTTAGTGATCATAAACAAGTTATTGAAACTTCAAATTCAAATAACATGGATTTAGATCTTTGAGACATATAATTTGAGATGCGGGATTCAAAAGTTCGTGAGATATTGAAGGTTCTATCTAAGATAGATAAATTGAAGTATTTCTCTAAGTCATTTTGAACGATGGTCAAATACTATTAAAGTTATTCGAAAGTTAAGCCATTGTTTAACTTTGATGACAAGCCTTCTTCAAAAGCTTAAAAAGTCTTTGTGATCAACCTTTTCCCCTGTTTCTTCCACTCCCATCTCTCTCATGTGTGACTTTTGTTATTTCTGGGGGTGAAAAGGACAACTTTCCTGGTTTTGTCGGTTAGTAGTTGGAAGTTTTATGCTAGAAGACTTGCTTTTGATGTGCCACTTGTATTGAATGAGAAATACCAACAAATATCATTAAAAATCAAACTAAGATCCAAATTATATCCTATTGGAACGAAGGGTTGGAAATGATCACTTGAAAAAACGTCTTTTTGATAATTGTAAGTTCCAAATGTGTCTACGATAGTTGATAGTTTTATACTATTAAATTAAATTATCTTGATTTTGTATCATGTAGTTTTTAGGGACATGAAATGTTTGTGGTTACAATGTATGATTCGTAGGAATTATTGTAGCTTTATCAATTACACTCCTAAACTTTAGATTGTATCAATAAGAACACTAAATGAATAAATTTCTTATTTTAACCCTCGAAAAACTTTAACGCACACATGTGCAAACTTATAATTCTATCCATTAAACTCTCAAACGGTCATTAGTTTGAGAATCCTTCAGACTTCTTAAAAAATTTAGAATTATTAGTTTATGATTTTTTGTTTTTATTGATTGGATTTCAAGGGGTGTTCGAGAGAATTTAATGCTAAATTTTTAATTTTATTTTTTTAAGTTCGAGAACATTAATGTTAAATATGTAACTTTAGTTTATGATAAGATTGGGAAAGTTGAGCAGTTGGAAGATAGTAATGATTAAAGTTAGTTAGCAGCATGCATAGCGCAAAAATTTTAACGACCCTATTAAGTAGACATGCTTTCCAATCTATAAAACCTATGGGCTATTCTAGGCCTCTTAATGGGCTCGGACCAGACTGAATCCACTAGTTTCTTTCTATTGTTTTTCTTACTGTTTTTTAATTTTTTTCTTTTAAAAAATAGAATGATTTTCCAAGAGTGTTCAAATACTCGGATAATCTGAAAAATTCGATAAACCAACCCGACCCTTTGGATTGAGTTACGAACTTATTTGAGTTGAATTAGATTAGATTGGTTCATAGATGCTCCTAAAACTGTCCATCGATTTTGATCGAGACATTGGCCGGAAATAGAGGGGTGTTCGTAAAGGGGCGAGCGGCCATGAAGTATCGGGCGTGGGCTTGATCGGCCTTAACCAAAACATTGATGGTTTGGCCAGGAGCTATGAGAATGGCGGAGGTTGTGAAGGGATTTGTGTAGACAGCGTCGATTTCGATGATAGTAAGAGAGTGACCGGTGATGGCGAAGAAGAGTTGTCAATGAGAGCAGCATTGTTGTGGCTCCTCTTTCTTCAGTTAGCTAGTTTGTAACGGCCCAAACTCACTGGTTGTAGATGTTGTTCATTACGTATTGCCGTCAACCTCATCGTATTAAAATGTGTCTACTAGGGAGAGATTTCCACACCCTTATAAAGAATGCTACGTTCTCCTCTCCAACCGATGAGAGATCTCATAATTCACTCCCTTGGAGGTCCATCGTTCACCGCCTAGTGTCTAGCTCTAATACCATTTGTAACAACCCTAGCCCACCGTTGACAGATATTGTCCGCTTTGACTCATTACATATCACCATCAGCCTCATGATTTTAAAACGCGTCTGTTAGGGAGAGGATTGCACACCCTTATAAAGAAAGTTTCGTTCCCCTCTCCTCACAATCTACCCTCTTTCGGCCCAATTAGGATCTCACAATTTATATGACCATTTAAACACCACAATGATGTGTTGCTGTCACAATTCTGGTTCACTTGGAAGTAGGAACTCACATGTTCATGTTCTTGTTCATGTTCCAAATAAAGAAACTATCTGAATTCAGAACACCAGAAACATTTGTTACCAATACCCAGATGGATATCCGAAATGATAATGGAGGTTTCCAGTTAGTTTACACTAAAAAGTTAGCAGAGCAGCCCATTTTCAGAGGGGAAACCTTCATGATCAACCTCATTTACTTACAATTTCAAAAGGAAACTTAGTGTTTGATGGAGAAGCAAATATATAAAACTTCATTTACCGAGGTCAATTTGCAGTAATTTACAAAAAAAAAATCCCCCAACATACAAATTTAGAGCTTCAAAATTCAGATTCCTTCTTCCTTCCTCCATATCCCATTCTATATCCTTTCTTTCTACAGATAACCAAGCTGCTCTATTTCCCAGTTCAACTTTGAAGCAACTCTTTCATGACAAGGAGCATACTCCTACAATAATCATCACCTACTTTTAGACATGAAACAAACATAAACCCTTCCTTGAATCCAACAAACACAGTAGAATACCTCCAATTTCATCATCAACTCCTTTGCGGTCGGAGCGGATAAGATTATTTCACGAGCGCTCGGACTGATGAATCCCTCTTCCACAGCTTTGTCTATAAATGACAGCAAAGAATTGTAGTATCCATCAACATTCAGCAAACCCACCTGCAAAATTTGATATTTGTTGCACTGAGTCAATTCCTCAGCAGCCAGTAAAAGTGTTCATTTAAGAGATGAAAAACTGCAGAAGGGTAGTTTACAGGTTTATCATGAATTCCAAGCTGAGCCCAAGTTATTACTTCAAGCAACTCCTCTAGAGTTCCATATCCACCTGCAAGAATCATTTGAATACTTCATTATCTATAACCAAGTCATAGTTTGAAGTTAATCCAATCTTTAAAGCAGGTGAAGAGTATTCAATCACAGAGATTGCTCTATTTTTCAGTGTACGATGTTGATGGGTCACTAGTCAAGGCTATACCATAATCATTGTGTCTTGGGTTCGTGCAGAGTTGGTGATGAGTAATTATGGCAGATAAAAGAGAAAAAACAAAAACATCTTTTAACTTCTCTTTCACAACTTCTCTTTCACAGATGCATTTTAAAATCTTGAGAGAAAATCCAAGAGGACAATATCTACTAGCGGTGAGATTGAATTAGAACTGTTACATAAGTTCACATGGTCGTTGTGGAAAGTAAGAGATTTGGTCAAGTCTTAAAAGCTCCTGATAAGCAGAAAGAGCAGAGGAACATTATGTTTTACAAGTATGCTTCAATGTTGCAGTGCAAGAGAGGGAGTGGTGTGGGGCTTGGTACTAACCAGGCAAGGCAATAAAAGCATCTGAATGCTTAGCCATCTCCGCCTTCCTTTGATGCATATCTGCCACTGCCTTCACTTCCCCTACTGTTTCACCAGTTAGCTGCAAAAGGAAAAAAACATGGAACAAAAAAAAAGTTGAAATTTTTTGAATGGAGACAGAGAGAGATAGAGAGATTTGCAGTAAAGTAATGATGAGTAATGCAGAGATATTCCCTAGCCACATTATTTCAAGCTTACAAGGAAACAAAACAAAAGAAAATGTTCAGTAGTAGGAAAAGGCCAAGGAATAAAAAACAATGCAAACAAGTACTTTATAGTTCAACTGATCGGTGGGAGTTGACATGGAATCATTCAAAATAGTAAGCAGAAGATCCCCAAATATTTATGTCTCTAACTGTAGCCAACCATTTGATTGGTGCCTAACACCCCAAATGAAGTGCTGCATAGATAAGCCCAACTGCCCACAATAGAGACAACCCCTCTTGACAACCACTTGGAAGATAGCAACACAAAACACATCGATACTAGCAAATATTTTCCGTTTTGACGATTTTAAAATGCAATTGTTAGAGAGGTTTCCACACCCTTATAAGGAATGCTTCGTTCCTCTCGTCTGCTGAGAAGAGGTTTTATACTCTTCTAAGAATTGTTTTATTCCTTTATCTAACCGACGTGAGATTTGAATAAACAAGGGAGGAAGAAGAAGCAGCAGAAAGTGGGTCTGATGCAAAAAAGATAAAAAGGAAATTGGTGAATATTTCCAAACAGCAGCAGCTCAGAGAAAAGAACAGTGAGGTAATAAAGGCTATATATTCAATCTATGAGGTTAAGCGTGTTTTCTAGGAGTAGCAGACATACCTCTCGAGGCATGAGCGTCTTGGGAATGACTCTACAGAGAAAAACAACAAGAAGACAAAAGTTATTTTTTTTCTATTTACTTGGAAATCAATGCCTAAAAACAGAGCCGACTCAATAATATCAGTGGTGTTTACCCAATGACATGCCCTCCACCATCATGAACAGCTTGTGAAACCAAGCCCATTAGCCCTATGCTTCCTCCTCCATACACCAGATTTATGCTCCTCGAAACCTTCAACAACAAAAGGATAGCAAAATTCCAAAAGGCAAGGGATGGGCAGATGGGTTAGTTTATTAGTTTGTAGCCAAAAAGAAAGTTCAAGTTCAAGGCATTTAAATGGCAGAGAGAAAAAGAAAACTAAAAGGGATTTTGATTGACAGCTTATGACACAAAACAGAGGAATCAGAATGGACATAAAGAGATAGAGGAGGAGGAGACGAATATGGCAAAAATAAGAACAACCATTTATGGATAAACATAAAGCGAGTGATTGTTGATAAGGCAAAAACAAAAGCAGGCAGAGAAAGAAACCCCAGAAAAGATTAAACACTCACTTTCAAGAAAACCCAACTTGGAAAAAGCGATTGAAAACAAAGATTGGTGGAGATTTCTTGAGCCCCAAGAAGAGTAAAAGAACAGTTGATGAAATCCCAAAAAGAGAGAGAAGGAAGAAAGGAAGGAATGAATGAGTACCAATTCCTTGCCGAGCTCAATGGCAGCTTCCTGATAGCTACTTTTCCTGCCCTGACTACTCCCACAAAACACACAAACCCTTCTGAACTTGGAGGATTGGCGCCTCATTTCATTCTCAACCTCCATCGCTTTTGGGTATCTCTAGAAAACCTCTATTGGTTTGTTGGTCACAAATCAAAAGGGGTTTCTTCTGAAAAAACTAGTAAAGAATCTATTTGTTCTTGTTCTCTGTCTGTATGCTCCCCTAATCTGTACCAAATGTCACAGAACAATACAAAAATATGAAAGGCTATACCCTTTTCTGCTTAGCCCACTCCCCCTCTTTCCTTCCTCTTTCTCAGTGCGTCCTCATGCGTATATATAAACCTCCTCGCACGTGAGTGCTAGTACCTCAGCACGCTCGTACGCCCACCTTCACTCACTCCTTCGGCACGCGTGGACCACCATTTCTCTCTCTAACCCCTTTCATTCCCACCACCATCACCACCACCACCACCACCACCGAGATGATGTTTTTTTTTTACACAGTTTCTGGAAAAACCCATCTTTTATTTTACCTAAACTTTGAACCCCAATTGCTGTTCTGTGATGATAATAATCCTCCCTCTGTTTTGTCAGTACAGTACATGTAAGAATGTGCCATATTTGACCCATTTTAATGAGCAAATGCTCAGTGTTTTCTTCTTTTTCTTGAGATTTTCTTATCAAATTGAGAGTTTTTTTTTTTTAACTGTGAGACAAGAAAATGAAAAGGGGTTTTTGTTTGTTTGTTCACATGAGAGTATCATTACATCATATGGATGATGTTGGTGAGTTTCTCAAATTTAATTTATTAACAAACATATTGAAAAGAATACTTTCATATTACTTAATTTGTGGACTCCAGAATCTTTCTTTTTGGAAAAACAAATTTTATGGCTCACTGACTCGTTGCCTCAAAAAGATGATCAGCCTTTTAATTAAGAGGATAATGTACTTCAAAACATAATACATTAATTAGGTTTTCCCTCTCTTATTTTGTCCACCTTCCCCAATCTCACGGTCTTAAAATATATCTGCCAGAGAGAAGTTTCTAGTTTCTACCCCTTATAAGAAATGTTTCGTTCTTCGATCAATATGGGAGCTCACAATCCACCCTTCTTGGAGGCCAGTGTCCTCGTTGGCACATCGCCCAATATCTGGCTCTGATACCATTTGTAACAGCCCAAGGTTACCGCTAGCAGGTATTGTCTGTTTTGGCCCGTTACGTATCATCATCAGTCTCACGGTTTTAAAACACGTTTGGTAGGGAGAAGTTTTCACATCATTATAAGTAATGTTTCGTTCTCCTCTTCAACTGATGTAAGATCTCACATATTACTTCAAAAGGACTGCATCTGTGTGTGTGTTTTTTTTTCACTTGCAGGTTGATGTTAATCTTTTATCTTGAATGGTACGAACTAATTCTTAGTTAAGTCATGGTGAGCTGAAAAGTTTATTTTGATTTTCGATGCAGTACATTATAATCTTATATCCCATAACATCCTTCCTGTACTATCTCTTGGAGCTTCCGATTACGAGAGTCAGCCTTTAGGCGATGATCAATCTCTTAATTAAAAGAAAATCGTCACATATTATAATTGGTATAATACAAAATTCTTAATGACCCACAGAAACTTCTGGAGCTCCAGCATTTTACTTTTCTAGTTAGAGACCCATCTTTCTATTTTTTTTTTTATGCAATAATTCTATGCTGAGAGAGAGAAAACTACCACGCACTTAACACAACATTCTCTGAAGACAAACAAAACTAAGGTAAGCATGAATGTCTTCTCCTCTAAGATCAGATCAGCATAAAGGCATTATTCATTGGCAAAAAGGTTTACAACTTTTAGGTAGTGATGTGTTGTTTTTAAAATCCAAAATGAGATTATGGGTTTTGTTTGTTCGTCCTAAAGATGCAAACTTTACGAAGAAGGAAGAGAGAGAAGTAATTGTAGACATATTAAGTTAATTAAAAGGGTTTAAAGATCCCACTTCGATTGGATAGGAGTATGAAATCTTCGTTATAAGGCTATAAAAACCTCTTCTTAACATAAGTGTTTTAAAAATATTGAGGGAAAGTATGAAAAGGAAAGCGCAGTGTGTTTAGCCTGATACATATCTTGAGCTCCGTGCAAGAGAGATATAGAGATGATGATTGAATTAAAAAGAAATTATGGAGAGAAGGACATGTGGGGTTAAGGGTTATGAAAGTGTGTCCTAATAGACAGAGTTGGTGCATTCAAAGGAAACATTTGATTTGAACTTCACACGCTCCTTCCCCCTTCCCCCTTCCCCATATCCTCCATTTTCACCTTCTCCAACCATCCTGTCCCAATTCCCCATCCCATGCCTTCTTCTTTCACTTATTGTTTATTGCTCTCTCTCTCTCTCTCTCTCTCTACTTACATTTAATCTTTTTATGTTTAGTTTTGCTAAGTTTTTGGGTATTTGTGTCGACGTTTGATGATCATTGCGAACGGTTGAAAGGGAGAAATGTTGCAAGATGACCTTTTACTCTTAAATCACCGATCAGTTCAAAAGTTTTATTTTTAAAATGAGTTATTTTTTTTGGTCGAGTGACGATTTGGTGGAATGTTTTAGAGTATGATTCTCGTAACACCTCATACCCAAAATTCATATCGAGATTTAGGTTTTCAATTTGACACCTAACAGCATTAACATTCATCTACAACATGATCATGTTATCTCTCTAACTTCAACTATTTCTAAGAGGGAAAGATATTCCCACCAACCTCACTAACATGCTTATTAAAAAAAAATTCCTAAGTAACACACAATTGCTAATAACCAACATATTTAACTTTAAATATTCTAATAATCGAAAAAATGAACGTACACCTTATTAGTATAAATAAATACTGTGAGATCTCACATCAAAATTTGAGGGAGAAACGAAACATTTCTTTTCTATCTAACAGATACATTTTAAAATCATGAAACTGAAAACGATAAGTAAAAGATTAAAGCGCACAAATATCTACCAACAATGCGCTTAAAGTATTGCAGTAACTCCCGATTATTTTTATATATTATACGGTAAGAGAGAGAATATATATAATGAGGCATTTGGAAGCATTATTTTGACCAAAGCACCAGGGTTTGTGTGAGATTGAATGATTAGTTTAACATAATGTTGTGTTGTGTGGTATTTTATTGTTGGTTCCATTGCCTGTAATGTACCAACAAACACACAAAAGAACATTAAAAAAACATGAATTTTAAAAGGGTTTTAGTTCCCCAATCCCCAAAATTTGGCCTTTCTGAGTGGCCATCCCCCTTTACTGCCTTCCCCTTTTACAGCCCCCTCTGTCTTGGGATATTATAAAACCTCATAATTACCTTTAATTCATTAATTAATTAAACAATAATAATATTGAATTATATTATATTATATTAGAATTGGTTTAGTTATGGCTTTGTCCCTCATGCAATGCTTTTGCATGCGCATCCAACACTACATCTTACACTTACACATGGTTTTGTGTCTCTGTTTTTATTTATTTTTTATTTATTAGTTGGTGACAGCTTCATTTAAACCAATTTATTACAAAATTCCATAATATATAAATCATAAATCATGTTGTATAAACTGTTTTAATTGAAACCCAAAAAAGAAAAAGAAAAAGAAAAAGGAAAAAGTTTATTCATTGCAAGTAAGAAAGATTTGAAATGAATATTCCAATTTATCATTCTAGAGATTTAAAGAATGTTCTTTTAATATATGTATATATATATATATATATAAATGTCACTTTTCGATTTTTTTTTTAATTTTAATATTATTGTTGTTGTTATTAAACCCGTGTTTGCAAATATACTTCTCAGTTTCTTCAAAATCATCATTCTCAACTCGAAATGTTAGAACATGAGCTGCTACAAGTGTTTCCATGTAAGGAGGAGGGCCCACTGTCTAAATTGCATTTCGAGAGTATGACAATCATGTCAGATTCAACTCAGAATTCATTCTTCTTTTCTGAAACACTATATCTAAGGAAGACGATACCCAACATCAATGATCAAGGTTCAAAGCAACTCGACAAAGTAGACGCAACAAAATTATACTTTTGCAAATGTGAATTTTTTTAAAATGGGTTTTATATGCCTCTTTAGATATTTTTACGAGATAAACGTCTATTAGTGATAGATGTCTTGGTCGGGTCTCGAAAAAAACTTTGTTTTTTGGTTGTTGATATAATGTTGTCATAGTTTTTGGTGTAATTACTTTTTTAATTTCTTGAAATCATAGTTAATGGGTGTCAAAAGAAAAGGCAATAATCTAATAATCAAAGTTATATGAGATTAATCCACATTATTGGAGTGGTTAATTTGGGTATGATTTTGTTGTTGACTTAAAAGAAAAATGATTTATTTTTGGGAGATAGTTAGCAAGTGGATGGTGGGTAGCTGCAAAATGGTACGAGTGTTGGAGAAGAAGTAAAGTAGGGCAACAAACAACTTACCCATTGCACACCATTCATCATATGCACTTTCATTTTGTGGATAAAAAACCCTATCCATTGTCTCTCCAAAATCATTGGTGTTTCTTCATTTATACCACAACTTTTCGTTGCTTTTAAGATTCTAAATTACCTCCAACAAAACTATTTCAATACAAGAGACCATTTTCTAGGTGTACAAGGGTTGAGTTAGAGAAATCTTTTGGACCAATTCAAAATTTCGGGTTAGTTGAAATAGTGATTCGAGCAACTCGAATAAAGTTCTAGGTTGGGTTGGGTTGGGTTGGATTGGGCCGGGTGAATTGTCGAGAATCTTACTTATATAATACATATTATATTAGTAACTAAAATCTCATAACCCTCAAATATCAAACAATCCCTAAGTTCAAATACTTTTAGTCTTCCTAATAATCTTTTAAAATGGGGTTAGATTGTGTTTTAACCTTATTTTCTGGCCGATCAGATTGACTTTATAAAAAAAAAAATGTTAACCAACAAACCGACCCTAATTTTTTATTTTTCTAAAATTCAACATAACTCAACCCAACTTTTATGGTTTGGATTGGGTAGTGAGTTAGTCAGGTTCTCGAGTCATATGAACACTCTTACCTTAAAAATGTTTTTGTGTCAAAAAGAATGTTGTAAATTAAAAATTCAGAGACTCGTTGGATACAAAACTAAACTTTTTCCGTTCAAAAACCTAATCATGCACATATTTGAAAGTTCAAGAACTACCCAATACACGTTTCAAAAAAAAAAATACACTATACCCATTTTGGAATACAATACCAACATTGAAAAACCTTAAAAAAGATTGAAACTTGAGTAGAAATAAAGCTCCAAAGTTGACAAAAAGTTG